TATTAAAAACTTTCGTAATTTTAATTTCTGTTTTCTTGATATTTACTTATTAAAATAAAAAATGAAAATGATTATTTTATAATTGTTATTACAAGCTTGAATTTGAAATGGTTTGATGATTATTTTGTGCAGAATATAAATATTAATGAATTCAATTTATTACTTGCATAAACAATACTAAATAAAATCAAAGTAATTAAATAGAATAATTTAGTAAAATATGTTTCAACATCGTCCAAATACTCTTTTAATCTTCATTAGCTTAGCATTAATTCTTAGTTTGATGGATTCTTGAATTAAAATATTTTTACAACTATATTCATATCAAACATACTATTGTCGAAATGAGTGTGAAGTTGATTGTTTGTTGAGTGTTTATCAGTTACTTGTACATAGTTATTACATATAACAGTGAACATTTAATAGGAAAATTATCTATAAGTTAGGATTATTTTCACTAAAAAACGTTTTCAGTGTCATTTAAGCATGTTTTAAATTTTTTGGTTTTTAACATTCTTTCGACAAGAATTTCTTTAATATCGTTTTCATTTTATTTGTCTTTATTACTAACATCATCATTTTCGAAATGAGCCTCTTGTTAACTTCATTTTTAATTTATTTGATGTTATTTTCGTCTTCTAGTTACTAGATTCTAATACAACTTCGGGCATTAAACTCCATTTAAGTATATCTTAGTGACTTCTTTCTAATAACTATCAATGTTTTCGTTATTTCGAAGCATCTTTGTCAGAGGTATCGTTAAACGAGCTATGACTATACAATTGTTTTTTTTATAATTAGAAACTATTTCAGTCTTGTTTTCCTTTACTTTATCTTGTCTTAAGATATTCATGAATTCTTCCATATGGTCTTCAAAAATACATAATTTATATTATTTCTGAAAATATCGTTTTCATTTTATTGACGGGATATTCAAAAAATTCAAAATTTAGAAAGTTCTTAAATCCTAGATTTAGTTTAATCGATTTTTACTTAATTATCAAAAAGAAAGTGTAAATATACTATTAAAAGCATCGTAACATCTGTTTAGAATATGAATAATATGGCATATTTTCAAATGTTGTTACAGTAGTGTTAGACATAAAGATATGATCGGAATCGTGTGATTTCCGCGATTCCTCTATCCTAGAATCAGAAAACAGGTAGAGAATTCTAAAGCTTTGACATAATTTCTTCTGAAAGAAAAAATGTAAATTATACACGTGCAGGTAGATATTGAAGTTTCATCCCGTATAAAAGTATCGTAGCTAATGGTACTAAATGACTAATTAACAAAGAAATCGCGCATGTGGGCATCAATCAGAAACAAATGTGAAATTAATAATAATAAAATATCGCAATTCAATTTCACATCGATTAATGCAATTATTCTCTGCAATAATAATGTTGTTGTTATTTTGCATATACAATTAACTCGATGAATATGTAACGATCATAATAAACAAATTTAATTAAAATACATTAGCTTCGATTAATCGCAACAGCTTGCGCAACACCTGCTAATTAGCGGGTATATTTCGATTTGAAAGTGAAAAAAATCGCAATTAACCGTTTGCACTTGGCTGGAAGCGAAAACCTCTATTCGGTTTCGGACATGCCAAAATCGAATCAACCTGTCGAAGGAGAAAAAAAATAATAATTTAATGAAAACGAAACGCGTTCATTGTGGATCCGTTAGGAACGTGCAAAGAAACTGTACATTCTTTTTTTGGAGGTGTCCGTGCGGCAATTAGAATATACTCCTTTCGTTAACAAATAATTTGTTTTGTGTTCTTAAGCTGAGTATTCCAGTAGTGGAAAAAGGCTGAGGGAAAACCGCTCAGTCCGTCGATGAAAATGGAGCGCGCGTTTACTTCTGAGCGCGAGTGTTAAATTATTTAGTGGAGATTCCGTTACTCGATGGATGATGACCTTAACCCGGTACACATTGAAATCCTTGAGCTTTCTTCCTACATACCACAGGTACAAGGTGTATAAGGAAACGGAGAACAGAAGATATATATATAAGTATAACATGTTCGTGTATAAAAAGAACCTGTCGCGCTCATCGTTACTCATTACCGAATTATGCAAATCCGCGCAGGAGAAAAACAATGTTTAAAAGATTGCTTTAACATTAAACTGGGTCACCGAAGAGCTGCGCTCTGCACGCTTCGAAACTCTTAATATTCAAAACTTTATTCTTTTAACATTAAACGTGCGGAACTGCTTCTGCTCAACGCTGACATTTCTCTCTTTCTTAATTGTAACAATTAAATGCTCTTGTTTATTGTTACTTGTTTTTTTTTTCTTAATTTCTATTCTCATTATGTTACTCAAATAAAAGTAACGAGAAAATCGTGAATCGGTAACGATAATCGTTTAACCCATATTTGAAATAATCAACGATATGCATTATTTAGAAAGAGTATAGCTTAAGCAAATTGCATAATTTATTGTTATTCATAATTTTTGTATAAATTGCATAATTTACGTAAATTGCGTTTACTTTGAAACAAAGTGAAAAAAACTTGCGTTGGAGGAGGAATTGTTTAATTAGTTTGAATTGTATAATAAATGGTAACACTTTTTCTTGCTGCCTACTGGACCAACTACTTTTGATTGGTTCCTGGCCAATGCAAATGCAAATGTGGGAACAACACGAAAACAAGAAAACTTTCCCCTTTTACCCGTTCGCAGTCGATCCTTTCGACCATGTCTTTCTTTATGGCCGCCGCTCATCTGTCACCAATAAATCAGCAGGCGGGCGAAAATAGATCATAATAATTACATTTGAACCGGTGAAGAGGCAAGAGAAAGTTATATTTCTGCAGAGACACACGAGCGATCCAATTCCAACAATTTTTTATATGGGGTTTTATATTTATACAAATTTGCAACATAAACCTTGATTTTTACAATTATATCTGCAACAAGTAAATATTACACAAACCTTTTGTTTCAAAAAATCTCAAATTATTTTCTTAAATTTTTCATTAATTTTTATATCAGCGACTCTAGTCTTGATCTTGAATTATCATCATTAACTCTAGGGACACTGGACTAACACTGTTTGAGGTTCCCCATTTATCCAAAGTTTGGTTTAATTGTGTTCAATTTTATTATTTTTACCGTCCTTTAATTGAAAACTGCCACTTATAATAAAGACATTTCATTTCCAAGTAGTCTTATGAAAGTAAATTTCATGGAAATTATTTTATTATAAAATGTCTCTTCAAAACTTCAATTTTATTCAAGAGTAAATATTACTCATACAGTAGTCTTCTGATAGTAACATTCATTTAAATTACTTTGTAAATTGTCTCTTCAAAAGAATCATAAATCCACTTAATTAGTAAAGATTCAATTTTAAGTAGAAATTATAAAAAATGTAATAAAAAATAATTCCAGAAATTAGAAATACAAAGTCTGTATAAATAATAACAAAAACACTAAATTTTAACGTTAACATTAATTATTATTTGATAATTTTCTTTATAGAAATTATTGAGAAATTAGTTTTTTATTACTGCAAAACTTTTATATGTATGCATAAGTTTTTACAATTTACAATTCTGTATATGCAATTTATAAAAGAAAGTTGTTTTGTAAGTACGGTACATTACCAAGTTTCATTTGTGTATTATTATGTTTATGATTAATTTGTTAGTAACAGAAACCTCTGCCTTTCCACTTGACAACTGCGAATGTTTAACAATAACAGTATTTCATTATTATGCATCTATGACTTGCGCAAACAACTACATAAAAGCGTTGAATGTAAGTAAAATTGATTGGTAATAATTATGATTACAAGTACATTATATTATGAAATTCTCATTTCCCAGAAATGAATTAATTTATTTTGATAATTATTTGCTGCAGACTAAACGAAATAAGTAATAAATAATACAATGGAATATAAACTGTAGGTTATTTATAGAAAAGCAATTGTTTGTGTAGCAATTACAAAACAGAAAAAGACATGGTTTTGTTGCCTAAAGATTACTTCCTTGAGACGATGCTATTATCAATATGGCATATTAATTATCGATTGTGCAACGCTTAATGAAACATCATAGATTAATCACGGACTTTCACCTCGGTATTGTACAATGCAGCACGCTTTAATATAGTTAACATTTCATATATTGCGACGTTCGATGCAGAGAAATTCAATGAAGACAAAAAGAAAAACTCCCAGGCTCAATGGATGATGCTTTTCTGTACCATTAAAACAAAACCTTTATTAACTTTGGACGAGAATAATAGCATCTGCCTGACGCTATCTTTTTTCGTAGGAAATTAACATTCAAAACTCGTTTCGCTCGCGGTGATGCTACACAGGTTTGGAGGAATGAAAGAATAATTGTGTGTAGGAGGCATTATTGAGCCGACACTCAGACCATTTGACCTAGTAGCAGGTAATGTGTATGTATGTGACATGAAGACCCACATCGCCGAAGATAAACTCTCGAATCGGAGCCGGACTGCAAAAAAAAAAACAAATAAAATAAATAAAAACGTTACTTTTTCAATAACTTTCCCCGGAAAAACGCGGATCCGTTGCAAAGTTCTCCCAGAAATTAGACTTTCACGTAACCCAATCCCAATCAATACTTATGTGAAATGAAAACAATGGGAGAGGTGATGTATGAAGAGAAAAAATATACGATCTAATTTATATTAGTTCGCATAGGTTTCCTCGTGTGAACGAAACCGAGATTAATCTTCTTCGCTTGTAGAAATTTGGGTCATTTCATTGTTTCCACCTGCTCGATTTATAGGGTGAAGAAAATTACGGCGCGAGCATAGCAATTAACGTGCTAAGCGAGTTCCAATTCGCTCTCTTGCTTTGCTAAAATTTGGTCTTCGTTGTAACGGCATCTGAATCCCGATTCCACCAATGTCGTGTTTTACGCTCGCTGAAGACGACATACATACAAAATACGTCCTCGATGTCATCTTGTTGTTTCATTTTTCTTTATTTATTTTTTCAGTTCTGAACGTCGCTGTGGGCAAAGCTCCAATGCAAATAAGCACCGAATTGGATGGAATGCCTCACAAAGCCATCGATGGAAGCACCACAAAGAACTTCACCACCGATACGTGCACTCTGACCAAGCAGGAGAATAAACCGTGGTGGTACGTCAACCTTCTCGAACCTTATATGGTGCAATTGGTTCGACTCGATTTTGGAAAGAGCTGTTGTGGTAAGTACAATCAATTAATATCAGTTGTAAAATTAATTTTTGATCATTCAATACATAAAACACAAAAATCTGATTCTTTAATTCAATATTTATATAGTATAGAAAATGATTCCATTAATTAAGATTACTTTACTGACAAGATCAAGTTGCAGACAATATTAATAAGAATTACAAGTTTCACTAATTCAACTTATGTTGTTCATGTAGTTTTCTTGTACTTGAAACTCGTTTTAATTCTTTAAAGTTTACGGTTCGCAAAGTATTACTGTATAATGAACACACGTAATAAGCATTTACGAACCAACGCGACAAATTATTTTCTTTCCTTATTAAACTAGTTAAATTGATGTATTTCTTAATGCTTAACTCTTTGTTCCAATACGTTGAAGGTATGAATGAAGCATGATTGAAAGATAAAATATTAATATTTCAAAAAATACTCTTTGCATATACAAATTGCTTCAACTTTTCATTAAATTGCTAATAAAAAAATATAAAGGGGATTGTTAATATATGAACGAAGATTGATTGAAACGTAAAAGAGTGTGACAGGAACAGTTATTGTTCAATCCGCGCGTTGCAGTTATACATGGTTAGAATATAAATGAAATCCGGATTAATTAATTTAAATGAAAAATTAAGGCTCGTGCTCGTTGCGTCCGCCGTAATGAGACGTAACTTTCACTCGGCGGAAGTCTCCGGATAGCAGAGCAAGTAATAAGCGGAAAACGATAAAGATGATGATGATGATCGCGGTGACTAATGAGTTTCTGAAACCGCGAGAGTTTCATGTAACGGAGCATTTGCATAAATCATATGCACTTTCTCTAAATTGGATCATCGATGTTTATTATAAAGAGAAAATGTTTTAGGTGCCATGAATCCTGCGACGCTGGTGGTGCGCGTCGGTAACAACCGTCCGGATCTGGGCTCGAATCCCGTCTGCAATCGTTTCACAGGAGAATTGAAGGAAGGTGAACCTCTCTTCCTGCCCTGCAATCCTCCGATGCCAGGTGCCTTCGTCAGCGTTCACATCGAGTACCCAGAGGTCAGCCAGTTGTCCATCTGCGAAGCATTCGTTTACACGGATCAAGCGTTACCAATCGAGAGATGTCCTCAATTCAGGGATCAGCCTCCAGGAAGCATGGCCACTTACAATGGAAAATGCTACATCTTTTACAATAGACCGTTGAAGTTCACGGACGCCCTTTCGTTCTGCAGAAGCAGAGGTGGTACTTTGATCGATGAGAGTAATCCTGCTCTGCAGGGATTCATCAGTTGGGAGCTTTGGAGGAGGCACAGGAATCACTCGAGTGGTAGATACTGGATGGGCGCGGTCAGGGATAAAAATATTTGGACGTGGCTGAAGCAGGAGGAGATTGGTGTTTCGTTTTGGGATAACAAGAATGGAAACGGTCAATGCGCTAGGTACGATGGTACAAGAGGATGGCTTTGGGTCGACACCGATTGCGAAATGCAACTGAATTTTATTTGTCAACATCGTGAGTACTTTCATAGAAACGAATATATTCGATAGTAGTTTTATAAATTTTATTTATTTAACAGAACCTAAAGCTTGCGGACGTCCGGAACAACCACCAAACTCGACAATGATTGCGCAAAACTTTAATGTTGGAGCAAACGTTGAATACACCTGTGACGAGGGACATTTGCTCGTTGGACCGACGACCAGGACCTGCCTGGATACAGGATTCTACAACGAATTTCCACCAGTTTGCAAACGTAATTATAACTACATTAGTCAATATTTTCTACAAACACTATATTCTCCATGGACGAATGAAAACAATCCAACTAAACTAGTTCAACAAAAAATCAAACGTGATTGTAATTTGCAGGAATTCAATGCGGATACCCAGCCGACATCGCCAACGGAGAGTACACCTTATTGAACAACAGCATCGGTTATCTGAGCAGAGTAATTTACACTTGCGATAAGGGCTATTTGATGGTGGGAAGGGCACAATTGGCGTGCGACATCGACGAAAGATGGAATGGACCTCCACCACGTTGCGAAGGTAAGATTGTTAAAAATGCAATGAAACAATTGAATTCAATTTCAATTTCAATTTGCAGCCATTACCTGTCGTCCACCTGTTGAAATAACCAACGGTTCGATCAAAATCAGCAATTCCGCGTTCATCTTCGGAACGATCATCGAGTACAGTTGCAATCCCGGTTTCAAATTGATTGGATCCAATGTTCTCACGTGCTTGGAGAATGGTCAATACGATGTGGTTCCACCCACTTGTCAAGGTAATTATATATGTGGTATATTTTGATGATGTTGATTTATTGTTGTTGTTTTTATTTTTGTAGAAGAAATTATCACCACGACACCAACGACTACTACTACTGTTACGAAAACCACCCGCATCCCAACAAAGACTCGAGGAAGGCCCACTCGTCCCGTTCCTACAACAATTCGTGCGGAAACTGATATAATTCGTTTAGAGAAGACGAAGAGACCCGCTGTGACCTACCGACCAACAGCTACGACCACTGAGAGGATCACAAGCACCACTCATACACCTCCATTGATTTTGGCCGCCGATCATCCACAAGACAACGAAATTGCTGGAAGCTCTAACATTCAGCAAGGACAAACACCTAATGTTAATGTCCCGATGTCAATTGATGGCAGGGAGGAGAGAAGAGAACCGTTCGGAGCTAAGCTTAATTTGGGAGCTATCATAGCGCTCGGTGCCTTCGGAGGATTCATCTTCCTAGCTGCGATCATCACCACCATCATCATATTAGTTAGAAGGTAAGAGGCATTCAATCAAACTACAAAAAATAAAATAGATCATACAATCATATGAATGGCAATAAATGCGCGATACTTTATGTGTGCAGTGCGGGATCGTCCAGGCGGCGGTCGTCGCATCGTGTAGCTGTCGGGGGCAGAGGTGGCGCCAGAGGTGGCGGCGGGGGTGGTACACATGGCGCGATGCCTTCGCGATGGTACACTCTGCTGGCGTTGCCGTTCCCCGATCAGCAGATCGGCCGAAGGGAATTCACCCGAAATTATCGGACGCACCGAGCTGGATACTTCTCCAACCCCATCTAGCCATCAAACCATTTAAAAACTGCCCCACGCACACGCGTACAAGGTACTAATGATTACAAGACAAAAAAAGAAAAGAAATAAAAGAAAGAGAGTTAAAAAAGATGATCCCAGACCGCCTCCAGTAAACAATCTCGCACTGCACTCCAATATTTCAAAACGCATGATCTATGTTACTGTACTGCACGGTAGACAACATCATAGTTTCAAACCCAGTAATTTCCATCTTTTCATTAGCGTACTTTCAACTGCCTCAGCGCAAATATTAAAAATATTGATATAATTATTTCAATTCAAATCAGTCGAAAGATCTAGTTCAGAATCAAAATTATGTACAAAACAAATAACATTTATATTCGAACAAATCTATATTTTAATATTAATTGCTATTATTATTATTCAATATTATTGTATCACATAATCATTATTACTATATAATAACCAAAAACTTGTTACAATATGAATAATGTTTAGTGAAACACTTTTATAACAACATTACATGAATTGGTATAAATATTGCAAAGTAGGCCTTTCCGCCCTAAAAAATACATATTTCCAAGTAGATTACATTTGTTGAATACTTTTAGAATATCTCTAATCTTCAGTTAATAAAGTAGTTTAAAGTTTTCATCTAAAACAGAAAATTTGCAGTATTGAATATATAGTTTGTTGTGTGCTTTTCTGTTGCTAAATGATTTGTTAATGTTTCAGAAATCGAAGTGCCAAACATTATCGCCATCGTGCATCACCGGACTGCAACACGGTCGCATCCTTCGACTCCTCGAGCTCAGGATCCAGGAACGGTCTCAATCGCTACTATCGCCAAGCATGGGAGAATCTGCACGAATCGGCCGGCGCCAAAGGGGCGGCAGTCATGAAACCTAGTGGCTCACCTCTTCGACGCAAAGAGACCATGGACGAACCCTACGTGAGGAACAGCGAAAGACATCGTGACGCATCCGAATTGGTCGTTGCGGACGTTGCCAGAACATCGGCGGAGAAGAAGCGCCATCATCATCACCACCATCACCACGACAAGGCGGCTCCGCCCCGCGACTGGCGCTCCACCAACGAAAACACCAGACACAAGAGATATTGACAGCCTCCCCTCATGATTATCACAGTACAATTGGAAGATTAGCAAATTCTTTTATTTTATTATTTTTATTTTATTTTTGTTTTGTTATAATTATTTATAATTTATTTATTCCTTTTTTGAGCACTTTAGATTTTTCGAACAGACGAGGAAAACGATATCAAAAATAAAAAAAATACGGAAAGAATTAAGAGAAAAAAGAAACACACACACAAAAATACCAAAGAAAAATATTTCAAAACGTGATCGCGAAAAAAAACAGAAGAGGCAATAACAATAATGTTGAAATAAATTTCTAAATATATATTTTTTTGTTTGTATCAGGACGAAGGAAATGAAGTCCTTGGCCTTGCTTTCGGGTTTCGGTCTATGACGATTGCAGCAGTCGCTGATCGAAACGGGGAAGGCAAGGCTAATGCACCAATTCATTCTTAATTAACGACTGAGAAGGAAAGTTATATAATTAACCAAAAAGTAAATAAACAATATATGAAAATAGGGTAAAACTGTATGCATAAATATATATACATTTTGTTTTGTACACGTAATTTACTATAGTGCCATGCAAATAGGCATTCATTCCAATACTTGCATTCAATTTTATTTACATTTCGCTACGAAGATAATAACTATTGTAGGTGTAGTAGCCCTTGCGTTTTTTCAAAATAAACATTTACTTTCTAAGGCTTAATTTTATTGATAGTTTTTTAAGTTTCAATTGTGAGATAATATGTAATATAGATTCTATGTATTTAAAGTATAGAGTATAATTAATATATTTGTGTTAATTAAAATGTTCGCATCAATTATTTTCCACATCCCTAATTACCAAGTTTTATATTTTAATCAATAAATCAATTAATCACTTAAAAAATATTATATTGCTATTTAAAGTTTTGAATTTCATATTTAATATAAATTTACTCAGATCACATTTTCCACACTTTCATAATTCTATTTGTTGTAATTATTTTATTAGTTACTAACTGTATTTATCATAGATTTATAAGTATACTTCGTTTCAAAGAAAACAAGAATGAACAAGAAACTGTTAAGCAAATTTTATAAATATCATACGAGAACTAACAAAAGTTGATAATGTTATTTATAATTGTTTATAAATCAAATCAAATAAATTTTTATTGATTGAAAAATTAAAATGAACCTTTATATAAATATAACATATAACCTTTTTCAGTTGGTAATGAGTAATGGTAAGTAACTAATCTTGGAATTCGAGAAGACAAACGAATTTGCTTATTTACACATGTATTTAAATAATCAGAATTGAACAACAACAAGATCTGGGGAGAAAAGAAAAAAATGAATCAACTGAACTCTAAAATATATATATATAAAATTAATTTTATTGCTTTTTACATGTTTTAAAAAAATAATTGCACTTTGGAATCATAAAATATGGTTTTCGGAATAAAATCCACGCTTATAAATATTAAAATTAAATTAAAAACAAGTACAATTTCGAATACTGATTAAATACACGTCGTCAATTTATACAGATACATATATATATCTCTCAATTGCATTCGATAATTCCCATTTACGTTGGTTCGTTCAAACGTGATGATTGTTGGTCATACGAGGCGGCGGAGTCGGTTTCCTCAGCTGTTTTCCTATAGTCTGCACGTGGAATCCGTATTCCAGAAGCTTCTCGTGGTCAAGGATTTTCCTTCCGTCGAAAATGAACGCCGGTTTCATCATTCCATCGTATATCTTTTTGTAATCCAATACCTAAAATGAATACAATGAAGATTAGATATAATACCTCTTTCTATAAACAAAGTTTTATTATAATAATTGTAACTTCAATATCAATTAAGCGATAGTTAGTTTATATTATTGCATAAGAATACTAAAACTTACCATGAACTCATCCCATTCTGTGCATACAACGATTGCGTGTGTTCCTTTGGTTGCCGAATACGCATCCTCGCAAACCTTCACGGTTTTCCTGACCTGCTCCGGAGATTCACATATGGACGGATGCGTGAGATCCTTAAAGATTTGGGACTCCTCCACCTTCGGATCGTAGATATTCAAGGTGGCACCTTCGTCCAGAAGGGTTTTGGCCACATAAATGGCCGGACTCTCGCGAGTGTCTCCGGTGTTCTTCTTGAATGCGAAACCCAAGAGCGCGATGTTCTTACCGCTGACGGTATTGAACAGAGCTTGAACGACTTTGGCAGTGAACCTCGATTTCTGGTATTCGTTCATATCGATCACCTGCTGCCAGTATGCGGCCACCTCGGGCAGATTCAGGCATTCGCAGATGTACACCAGATTTAGGATGTCCTTTTGAAAACAGCTCCCACCGAAACCGATAATTAAAAAAAAGAGATAGAGCACATCAAATACTGATTGGATCTTCCGATGCCTCCGGAGAAATCCAGAATCAATGCGACGACGGTGTTAAATCCTTACCAATGGAAGCCTGCAGGAACTTCGAACCGATCCTCGAGTCCAGACCGACAGCTCGAGCCACCTCCGAAACGTCGGCTCCGGTAGCCTCGCATACTGCTGACAAGGAATTGATGCTCGAAACACGCTGAGCCAACATCGCATTTGCAGCCTAAACAAACACAAAATAGTAATTATTATATGTATTGTAGTTATTAATAGGTTTGTTGTTATTCCATTATTACATAAAACTTCGCTTTGAGCAACATTTGGTACAAGATTTTCTAGTTTTACTTCAAATAATTATTTTTCTTGAATTAATATCATTTAATAGTATAATGCTCAATCAAATTAAGGTATCTATAATTGAGAAATGTTTCTTTAAACATACAATAAATTATTACAAGCCACACACGTTGCTTAACATCGAGATTATCCAATATGATTAACAAATTGGAATTAAAAATCAGTCACACGGATATTTGTAATCCCTGTGTCGCAACTTTTATTATTGTCGAATCAAATGTTATTTTCGTACGATAAAAAAAACATGTACTAAGTAAACAACCTAATCAAAATATTCAGTTAAGCAACAAAGCGAACCTAGATGATTGGAATAGATTTATCGTCCCAGGTATTTAACTGACGTCACGTTCTGAATTTACTTTGAACGTTATCAGACACAAAGCATTCCAATTTTGCATGCAAAAAATAATAATAAGCGAAACACATAAAAGCGAAACCATTTATCGATCACTCACTAATTTTGATAATTCCGATGACCACGTATTTGTAGTTAAAATATTTTTTCTTGGTATCCAGTGCTCGTAGATCTTGCATAACTGCTCGATAGCTCCGCTATTTTCACCACCAATTAGAACGCGATCAGCGTAAAGCAAATCATTGATTGCAGTACCTGTAAGAGACAACAAAGAGTCATAATCAACGGTTTTCAAATTGGTAATATAGGGAATTGCTAACCCTCAGCCAGAAACTCGGGATTCGAGAGAATGTGATAAGTCACTCCCGGTTTGTTGTTGGCATACAAGATGTTCTGGATGCTCTCGGCAGCCCTCACCGGCACCGTACTCTTTTCCACGACGATTTTATCGCTTTGCGCGATATCTGCAATCATTCGAGCGGCACCTTCAACGTACTTCAAATCTGCTGCCCGGCCCTAAATCAAAAAATAAATTTTATAAAAACAACATCAATTGCAGTAATTTAGCCTTGCGTTTGTAAAATCAATAAACATAAACGCGCGACCTTACGTGCATCAATTATATAAACGCGATTTGCTCAATATCAGCAATTGCGAAATGCTTTCATTGAATGAAATAATAATTGTTTACCTTTCCGTTGCCGAAGGTTTTTGTTGGGGTATTGACAGATATGAATATCAGGTCTGCCTCAAGGATGGCTGTTTTGATGTCATTGGTGAAAAAGAGATTCTTGCCTCGGCATTCCTTTACTACATCATCTAAGAGTGGCTGCAAGTCAAGAGGAATAAATTTAATTCATAAATACAATGCAATAAGAGTGTACTCTTACCTCATATATGGGCAATTTCTCTGAGTTCCACTGTGCAATCCTCTCCACACTTAAGTCCACTACTGTGACTTTAATATCAGGACATTTCCAAGCAATAACACTGCAAGTTGGTCCACCAACATAGCCAGCTCCCAGACAGCATATATTTTTAATTGACATTTTTTTAATCTAAAACAAACATAAATTTTAATTAATGAACATTAAATTTATAATTAGCAAATAATTAATATTAATCATTAACAAACTTTGATATATAGTCATATAAATTGACTATTAGCTAAATAGTACCATACAATTTATATTTTAATAATATTATATTTTAAAAAACTGGAACTTACAAACTGTATGAAAGAAAAGTAAAGCTTATAATTATCTAGTGTTAAATTTTATCTAATCTAAAAGAATTAAAACAATTTCAAAAGTTATAGGTTAGGATATCTGGATACTCCCCCTAATGAATTAACAATAGTCAGGGCATTGGTCAGATATTGAAAGATGATTTTAGCAAAACTAGTTTGATTTTTTGCAAATACAATAGAATGTTATAAGTTCAAATAAAACAATGATTGAATGAAGAATCTTACCAAATTTTCTCTTTTCCTTTCAATGTACCACGTAATCAACGTCTGAATTGTTTGTGCTTACTAAAAGGATGTATGAACTCGATGATGGTGATGTGATGATCAGTGATGATGTTAATGGTAAATAAACCGGCAGTAAAATGTAACCTCACGGCTAACTCTAGAACTACAACTCCTGGAACTGGCATTAGTCACGTTCAATGGCTTGCTTTATACTTGACTGAGTGCTGGGAACAGTAGCGGATTTAAGCACATGAGCGCGTCTTGGTCCTAAAATCTTAAATTGGGCCCACGACAATCTTAATACTGCCATTCGAAACCGATACTTCCGTCATCATTTTTAGCAAAAAATATTTGAATTGAAAGTGTTTAGAGGAGGGCCTCACAATTAAATTGCGCCTGGGTCCTCTGAAGTGCTAAATCCGCCACTGACCAGAAGTCGATGCACACAGCAACGAGAAAAAAGAACACAATTCAATAATATATATTAACTAAATTCTAAATTCATGCTATGGTCGCCTGTATCACGAAAAGTCGTTGATTCAATTCCCAAAAACCAACAAAAATTTGTGGTGGCTGTTAAACCCGAAAGGGGTAGAAATAGGGCCGGAAAAGATTTATATCAATAAATAAATTGATATAAATCTCTTTTTGATAAAAAAAAAATAAATTCATTTGCTTATCAACATTCAGTTACTAACATAGCATATGCTGTAGCTATAGTCTTGATACAAAAAAAATCATCAGTTGAGAAGTGTCACTTATCTGCACACTCGACGAAAAGTAAATAAAACTAAATATATACAAATAAGTTTTTAAATAAAGTTCATCATCATTATATTAAATTAAAGTGCATTCGTTAATATTTAAAATTGTTTAAGGAATATATTTGCTTTCCACTGCAGAGCACTTTTCATACTATTTAAATATACATATCTCTGATTAAAGAGATTAGCTAGAATTATAATTGTTTGAATCACTGAAATACATTATTCTTACGATTTTCTTAAATTGATCTTTGTCTAAATTTATCAAAACTTTTTATTTGTAATTACTAATTTTACAAATTTTATCAAACATTAACATGTAATAAAAATCAATCAAAATATTTAATTTCCAAGTATCTTTTGAAAGTATATAAAATTTATTAATTTCTACATAATAATTTTAATATTGCCTCTATTATAACATAAACATAATTTCAATATGAAAAATAATATATATTAAAAATTATAAAAAAAAACATGTGAAAAGACAGGTACAAGAAGTAACAAATAAATATATGCACACCAAAGGGAAACGAAAATGTGAGTTCATGTTAATTTATCCCTCAGACTAGCAGAGCTTGGATTCATTGCATCTCTGAGCACATCGTCATCTTTGGACAAATTAAACAATTTCTTTATTAATACGTATAATATTACTTGCTTAACTTTAAGCATTTCGTAAGTATATTTTTGCATCTTCGTAAGTATATAAAAATATTTCATTAGTTGTTATCAATAAATGACTTTTTCTTAAATTTACTGCTTATTTTTATGAACAAGATGACCTTTTTGGTAATTAATAAAAAACGACAAAAGAAACAAATGCAACAAAACAGTACATTTTTCAAAAATATTATATTTTATTAAAGAAATTATCAATTTTTGTTTGGACTGTTAATTTTTTAATCACTATATATCTCCTTGTAATAAGTTAGAGCTTTTAGGATTTTGTTCGTAAGTCCGGGAGTTCGTAAGTCGGGGCATACCTGTACTGGAGAGTTTCAGAAACCTTTGTAAATTCACTTATAGATTAAGAAAAGTTGGATTAAGTTATTGTATAAAAGAAAATCGATTATTTCTATTATATAATAAATAAAAGTAAATAGTATAAGAAAATATCGATATTTAATTCGTATATTTTTTCGAAATAATGTCAGTTGGCAGCACAGAAATAGAAGTTTCGTATGTCCGGGAGTTCGTAAGTCGGGGGATACCTGTACTGGAGAGTTTCAGAAACCTCTGTAAATTCACTTATAGATTAAGCAAACTCGGATTAAGTTATAGTATAAAGGAAAATCTATTATTTCTATTATAAAATAAATAAAAGTAAAGAGTATAAGAAAATATCGATATTTAATTCGTATATTTTTTCGAAATAATGTCAGTTGGCAGCACCAAAATTGAAGTTTCGATGTATTGGGAGTTGCTGTGTTTTTGTATACAAAATTCACTCAGACATCTTGTATTGTGAAGTGTTGAGAAGTGACCCAAAGTGACAGTTGAAAGGGAAGTTCAGTTGTTAGTGTATGTTTACTGGTCAATTTTTCGGTGAAATTGAAATAAGTAAAAACCGAGGGCCGGTATTTCATTCAGCATTGATATATATGGCCTAGATAGAGCCATGGGTTTCGAATTGACTCGTTTCCAAGGAGATGTCGACGAAGAATTGGTATGCCCCATATGCTCTGGTGTTCTTGAAGATCCATTGCAGGTAAATGATGTTATGAAATGCATTACCAAATATAGTCAATTCCTCAAACCCAAATTTTTTTTTTAGGCACCAGTCTGTGAACACGCGTTCTGTCGAAACTGTATCCAAGAATGGATATCAAGACAACCCACCTGTCCTGTTGATCGACAACACCTCACAAGTGGTGTTCTAAGACAAGTTCCAAGAATACTAAGAAATTTGCTTTCAAGGTAAATATATTAGATTACTTTCAATTTCCTAACTAAACTTATTCTGAAAATCACTAGTTATATATACTTATTATTTTTTTTAACAACAGTCATTCATTCAATTTAAATGTATTTAATTAAGTTTTTATAATTATTAACAGACATTCATTCATTTTTTATACAAAAAATTATTAGCAAATATAAAATTCTTACTAAACATTACATAATTAAAACTTTTAATTCAAGACAGTAATTAATATGTAAAAACAGTTACATTTTCTTCGTTACTAACCTATTGACGTATATATTTCTAATTTCATAGTAATTTTTTTCTACTTGCCATTTTTATATTTATTGATAACGTTTTTATTTGATTTTTGAAAATAACGTTGCAAATGCACCAATCTTACAAATTCCCAACTACCTACGAAATACCTGTTGATTTGTATATAAAATAAAGTTGGGACAACAAAATGAGTATAGTGTTAATAATAATTAAAACATATGTTATTAATAATAATCTTTATTGTAACAGTAAAAAAAAACATATTTATTACAACTTTTATAATTATTTAATATTGGATGTAATTATTTCAGACTCTCGATAAATTGTGATAATGCTCAATATGGCTGTCAAAGGACATTGAAACTCGACAATCTTTCAGCACACTTGGAAGAATGCGAACACAATCCAAAAAGGCCGTTGCCGTGCGAGTCAGGCTGTGGATTAATTATTCCAAAAGACGAATTAAAGGATCACAACTGCATAAAAGAGTTAAGAAGTCTAATACAAACACAACAGCAAAAGATTATCGAATTTCAGCAAGATCTGCAGGAACAGCGCTTCACTATCAATGAGCAAAAGAGAGAATTGCAACTTTTAAAGGTAAATTGTAAATAGGTATTTATTATATGTAGTTCATAATTTCGTTAAATAGGAATTCATGAGAGCCATGAGGATTTCCAATCCTACCATGAGAGCCATCGCTGACGCCATGGAAAGGGACGAAGTGTTGAGGTGGAGCAACTCATTGACGAGGGCTCGAGTTACTAGATGGGGTGGAATGATTTCTACGCCTGACGAAGTTCTTCAGGTAAATTTTAAAAAAATCACTAAAAAGAGACAATATTTATAGAAATAAATGTTGATTTGTAGAGGATGATCAAGAGAACTTTGGGTGAAATTGGATGCCCGTCACATATAATTGATGATCTGATGGAGAATTGCCACGAGAGAAGATGGCCAGCAGGATTGTGTTCTCTTGAGACTCGACAGAACAACAGGAGGCAGTACGAGAATTACGTGTGCAAAAGGGTGCCGGGTAAACAAGCTGTGCTGGTGTTATCCTGTGATAATGGACACATGAACGAAGACATGATGGTTGAGCCCGGATTGGTAATGATCTTTGCGCATGGAATTGAGTAAATAATATAAATATAAACGCATTCCCACTATGAAAGAAAATCATCCATATGATCGATATTCCATCGTGTGACAGTATTTTTGCGGGATGCCAAAAAAAAAGTGATTATAAAACATATACATATTTAAAAAGAAATGCATCCAATAAATTAAAAAAGAATGAGTATACATGTTATAGGAAATGTATTAATTTAAAAAAAAAACACAGAAAAGAAAGTGAAAATTATTTAAATCGTATTAAGCCAAAGCATCGTTTTTCGTTCTCAACAATTGTTTCATTATCACTTTGTATAGAGACTGATTAGTCACCTGAAAAATAGAAGATAAGATAAACGTGTCACAGACGGACTTAATTCATCCACGTGTTTTCCAGTTCCACAATCACATTTTGCTACTCATTTGTGCAAAGCAAAACGAAATTATTCGAAAGTCTCTGGCTTCCATTTCATAAAAATTTTATCCGACTGAAAAAATGTCCGAGATTTTTGTCCTGGACCAACATTTTCAATCATTTTTTTTCTTTGGTATTTTTGATCTCAGATCCCCTTTTATGGCACTAGTCAAGGCAAAAAAAGATATTCATAAAATCTCTTTCAATTTCTTAAGTGTAAATTTGATATATATATCATGTGATTCTGTATTACATCTAGTATCTACTCAATGGGGACATAAATAAGTTTAAATAGCGGAGGAGATTCGATTAAGTATGAAATGTATAATGCAAAAAAAAAATGTACCGTTATTATTCGCGTTCGGTGCATATTCTACGACTAGTTATTATATGTTTATACTTAATAAATGTATTTAAAAAAAAAAGAAGAAAATGTGATCGAAATGAATTTACTGTAACTATTTTTGTTAAAAAAAAAACTAAGCATACTACTTGCTATTAGGTTTTTTTTAAAGTTAAATAAGATGTATTTGTTTAAACTAAATTTGGGCATTTTTTTTGTGTCTTAATATTATTATTATAATTTGTATTGTTTCGTCTTTATTTTAACTAATTATAATTTTCATTGCCAATTATAAATATATATTTTTTTAATTGTATCAATGAACATTCTACATATGATTCTTGTATTTCACACACTCTGTTTTCTATTCTTACAATAAGCAGCATTTGAAGAAGATAAAAATATATGCCGACGAACTTATCACAGCTTTGTAATTTTAACGTTCGTTGAATATGTGGCTATTTAATCCAGTAATATAACATTGTTTGGAGTTCACGAGTATTGTTAACCGGGGAAACCATGATTAACAAAATAGTCGACCAATGAAAATGTCTATTGTAAAATTAATGCAAGGTAAAGTTAAACAGTGTTTCCTAAAATTTCAATGTTGAAACGTTTTCGCTGTATAACTTTACTGATTCTATTGATATATCTGACAGTTTTTTTTGCTAAAAGACACTGGTCTACAGGGTGTATAAGGAATGTGTATTTGATCTTATAGATATAATAAATTGTATTAATATGGTCCAGTTGGATGGGAGAATTCTTCAATCCAATCACTTTGAACCAATTTTCCATTAATTTAATTTCGAAAGTTATAAATAAAAATGTTTTATTTTTTCAGATTGTCTTAAATATAAATGACAGTTTTAATTTTGATACTTATCAATGGTATTTTAGATCTGGAAAAAGTACGTAAATGTGATATTTATTAAATATGTTTTTCTTTTTATTGAAAGAAAACTTGCAGATTTATTAATTGGAATTAAAGCTATAGTGTATAATAAAATATATCTTCAATTAAGTTATATAATCAAAGTTAATATTTATGTTATCCGGATAAAGTTCCAAGACGAAAGCAGTGCCCTTCCTAGTAAATTTGGTGTACCTCGAGGTGTTGTACTTGTACTGATACTCTGTTTTATCAATATGAAACCACGCAACAGTACATTGCAAGAGTTCGTAAATGAAGTTGAAGACTCAGATAATAGGAATATTAAAGACGACGAAACTAAATCCACTTATGAAAATATTTAGTAATTATGTAACTTTAAATAACGAGATGAATAATGTAAAATATGCAGATATACTGTTTATAACGTTATTCTCGAATCGGTGTACTCAAATGCAATACAGTTATGGAGTTCAACAATGAAATACTTCAGCAATTTCAATCGAAAGCGATGCGAACAATCACCGACGAAGCAAGGTATGCATGTTACTTATACACAACGACCTGCAAATTAAGAAAGTTAACAGAGACATTTCCAAATTCCTTGAATTCTATATAGTTCTAAAAAGTATTATGTATTATGAAATATGTTCATAATGTTATTACAATATTAGTTTCATAATAAATATAATGGAAAAAGTATTCAATTTTTGTATACTAAATCAATAGTAGATTTATACAAGACAAGCAAAAGACATGATTACTATGGCGCTACACACAATCTTTTGGAAACGCCAATCTGTAACAAATCAACAATAAATAGAAGGGTCTAAAGCGAGGTTAGTGGGTGTAACTAAGGGCAACCCTGTTCACAATTTAATGATTAATATTAACACACTAGATAATTGAGGGTGAAAGACCTACAATCAATTAACTTTTACAGTAGTTCACATAAATCTTTCTTTTCTTAATGCTTACATCACTTTATCTAGTCCCAAATTAGTTCTAAAAATAAATGCATATAAACTTATTTTATAATTATTAGAATACAAATATATTTGATTGTGAATTATTGTAATTCACAATTGTAGTAACTCCTGTGAATTATATAAATGTACAGATAACAACAGTTACACGTAATTAAACTATTATTAGATACTTAATTATGTTTGAACAATGCAATAAAATTAAAATGCATATAATAATATTACCATTAATGTAAATGTAATGTAAAAATACATAACTATTAACTGTTTTAACTGAAAATTAATTAAAATTACGTATACACAAATAAATACATTGGAAAAGTAAACGCACTGATTGTATACAAACAAAAATATATATTGATTATTAAATGAAAACAGCTTGCTAATGGCGAATGACTAACAAAAACAGCCAACTTAAAACGTTTGCAATACCCTACAATCTGCAATATATTTGTTTAAATTAAGAGTTCTATTCATAATATTAGTGTAATGAGTTTATAATTTGTTTTTATCTGTTATTGCTTTCTAATTGCTTCGTAATGTGATTTGGAAATGTTAGAAATATTTTTTAAATTGCGATGAGAAGTGATTTGTTTTTGAGAATTGCAAATTGATTAATTAGTTAAATCGTTAAGGGTTGTTTGTTGGTTGGATATTCGTTAGAATACTTGTAGATTTAGGTGTTTCTGTTGTATTATATAGGTTGGTGGTATGTGTTTCATCGTTGTTGGCAGCACTGAATTTTCTTACGTCAACCAATGAGGCAACGGAAGAAATTAGGAGCATTTACCTTCAGCTGCAAATTGTTCCCTTATGTGACATGGCGTCTGAGAGGAAAGTTAGTATTAGTTGTTGAAGGGGACACTGAAACGGCGATTGCTATAGAAGCAACAAAAAAACCACACGCATATATGACATTAGGTGAAGGAACGGCTTGTCATAAAAGCCAAAAACGTTCACTAGAGTCTTGCATTGATGGTAATGCATGCAAGGAAAACGCAGCGGATGAGCGATGGGTAGGCATTTTACCCTCTCACATTCTCACCTATAACGTCAAAAAAAAACATATCGAGTGAATAACAACCGATATCCCAATAATATAAACAAAAATACATCCCAAGAAAACCGACCCTTGTCCAACCACAAATACACATTATTATTAAACGTTATTTTTTTTTTTCGTTTGGTTTTCAGGTACTTCGAGAAACACCAGGCCCATCCCTATCAGGTAAACATAACACTTTTTCATTTATACTTTTAAACGAGGTCGGTGCACCGCGAGGGCCGAAAAACAAAAGTTAAAATCAATTCTTGACATCCCGTCCATGAAACATTGATGTGATACTTTGGTGGAAAAAAACACGTACGTCGATTTGTGCCTTTATAAGTATTGCTCGTTGCAAAGGGAAACGTGTGCCGCGCTATATACGGATACAGTATTTCCTTAAAATTCCACGCAAACGCATCTCGTTTCGTCGTTTTACGACCGGCGGAATCTCTTAAAATCTTCCGCAATTGCCTGTTAGATATTTAATAACAACAAAAATGGCAGCCACACACAGCCCGACCTAACCTTATCCAAAAACAGTGACAGTTTTTCTTCTCGCCAAAGTTTATACTACAATGTAAATAACGCGGTTATTATTAACTTCTGTTGCTAAATGCAAGGTCGCTCGAATCTGCGGGCCCCCTCAATTTCGGTCCAATTGGTTTGGTCTTCAACTCTGGGGGAGACCATTTTGAAAATCTATTTTGCAGCACCTACAATTATATAATATTGATTTTGGTAAATATATTGCATTTCCTCATTTTGACATATAAATACGCCAGTTGAGCTGACTGTCACATGTGTGTGGGGGACAAGCAGCCTTTGGTAGTGATCAACAGGGAAGTCTTATTAGACAAGTGTTTGATGAATGCAACCAGCCTGCAATTGGGTTAACTATGAATAAACAAATGTTTTCTTCGTTGCAACCACTCAATGTTTTTCTCCCTTTCTATGATTGCAGAACACGAAATATAGTTCGTCCAAGAGCTATGGTCAAAACGCAGAAAGGTACGAGCGGATTCGTGACTCGCCGAATGGGAATTACCGTTCGGACAGTCCGGATTCGCAATCTCCAAGGGACAGGGATAGAACTAACCAACCGAAGAGCTACTATCTGCAAAAATTACACAAGGAGAGAGAGAATAGAGACTACAAGCGAGACAAATATGCTGGTATGTTTTTGAATAGCCCTAATCATCTCACAATGCCATCTTTTATGTTTTGATTATTATTTTGTTTGTTTTTGTTCATTTCAATTCCCTAATTTCCAACTTTTCTTTTGCCTATCTGTGTTGTCTATGTAGGCAAATATTTTTCAGATTGTGCCAGATCACCAAAGGACAAGCGGAGCAGCCGTGATTCTGAACACAGAACCAATCATGACCGGAGTGATGACAAAAGCATACTGCACCCAATAAAAGTATCACAGAATCTGTCTTCTAGAGATCGCAAACCAATGCATAACAATTGTGTTGATAAGGTATGTATGCATATAACAGTAACCACCCCACAGTTTACTTTTAACCATATTTAGATTCTGAAGCATTAATTAGACAGTATTTTAATATTTGTATACTACTCGATTTTTAGAGGGATGACAGAGAGAGGGTGTCTAGGTTTGGAGACTGGTCAGAACATATTAGTTCTTCTGGAAAAAAGTATTACTACAACTGCAAAACTGAAGTGTCACAATGGGAGAAGCCAAGGGAATGGACAGAGAGATGTAGAACTAGAGACAGGGATAGGGATTCTGATAGGAACTATGGTGGTGGCGGAAGTAGCGGTGGATCTAGCCGATCTGGTACGCGTAAGTAGTCACAAACACACACATATCAATACATTAACCAAATTTAAATAAATCTGCAAAAAAAAAATATAAAACATCTGCCAATTTGAAATACTATCCATATGAAAGCGAATATACGAATATAAAATAATTATTCCCAATGGTATTCAATTTAATATCAATACCTATTTGAAAAAATGAAACAATCATAAAATAAAAATATAACTTTATCTTATGTAATTTATATTTCTACAGTTAAATTGAACATATTTAATTCATTAATTTATATTATATCAATTAACGCAGTAATTTCTGCGTTTGTTTGTTTTCTCAAATAAAAAATATACTAAAATACTTTATTTTATTTTTAAATATATTCAATATTTTTCTCATATACATCTTGTAAAGTTATGTATTTAGAAAAGTTTTTGTGAAAGGTTTAAAAAAATTCATCATTTAATTTCTTTGTAATAAAATTGTATTCATTACTATTAATTTAAATTATAGTTAATTTAAGAAATATCACTTTAATTATTATTTGTTTAAATTTCTATTTGGATTACATATGAGAATAGAATTGCAATTGTTGTATATAAACCAGGTGCATTGACACTAAAACATGAGATGCACCTGTTGCATCCAAAAGGATATTGACCTGAAAATTTATCAATAAGTTAATATTCAAAGGATAAAAGTTCCATATTCAGGATATGTGTGGCAGTAGCATTGCAATGCAATTATTAAAATCATGTATTCTTTCAAGTTAAATATAACAAGCAGATACTTCTAAAAGTTTACAAATAACACCTTAAGAAATTGTATATGTTATTGTAACATAATGTTTATTATTTATGTTTTTTTTACATATGTTTAGGGCACGATAAACATTCCAGTGGAAGAAGTGGAGGGAGTAAGGATAATTTACGCGAGAGTGCAACGGGTAGCAGTCAGCACTGGAGTAGTCGCGATGATGATCATAGTCTCGGTAAGGAGTCTTCTACGAGGAATTCGTCATCACGTAACAAAAATAGTTCGTCGACAATCTCTGCGTCCGCTGCAGCATCTGCTGGCGAAGACAGTGCGCTGTCTGCCGCCCAGGATATGGACATATCTCCAGGTGATAGCACCCCCACATCAGAAGTCTCCTATCCTTCTGCAGGAAACCAGGAGAACTCGCACGGCCCGGTTCTGTTGGCAAATGCATTGCCACGTTTGATATCGCACCCTCAGACGCCGACGGCAATCTCTTCACGGCAAACAACGGATTCGTCTCCGGCCCTCCAGAGCACACCCTCCCATGTAACCCCAGCGGCCAGTGTGACAACATGCAACGCACCCGGACCACCCATGAACACAAACTCCTCCGCGTCCGCAATAGCTTCATCGGCAATAGCTTCAATTGCTTCTGATTCTAGTGATGCCAAAGGCATACAGACATTCGTTAGGCAAATTGGTGATAATTCTATGCAACAGCAGTCGCTGGCGTCGCTGCTCACAGTCGATACCAATCATGCGTCCATCGCTGGGGGCACCATGATGATACCTGATGGACCGCCGACTCCTACGCATTCAGAAACACCTGACTGTGCTAAAGGTAATTAGTCGTGCTAATCCAATCCTTTTTTCAATAACAATAAGACTAATTGCAGGCAGCCCAGCCGGTACCCTCACAGGTCCTACCAGCAGTGGTTTATCAACATTGCAAGGTGTTGCTAGTTCATTGCAAGCTCTAAGACCACAAGGACCGACGATCACACCTTCCTTGGCAAATCACGTTAGAGACGATTTAGTTAATCACGTGCGAGGATGGCCTGCGGATATACTTGAAAAACAGGTCAGTTGCATTTCATATATGCATAATGTATATTACTAATTTATCCAACGTATCTAGAACAATATCCACAAAAAAGGTGCTACAATCATATTTCTTCAATGCAATATTGATTATATTAGTGGCTTTAAATCATTAAAAATAGTTGCTTATACAACCTGACCTTTTGAATAATGATCACTGGCTGACGTCTGAGTAAGAAATTGCTGTTGTAATTTAATAATAATTCCTAAATGAACTGACTGCTGTAATAAGCAATTTAAAATCTATTGATATCACAATGTGGCATAGTAACGTCAAAGTAATAATATATTTGTATAATTGCATACTTAGACATTGTTTTATATTTATTTTATAACATGCAGTTATTTTAGTATTGTAAAACCATTTATACTGTTTTCATGAATGAAAAATCATAGTTTCAATATCTGTTGTTTTTCTTAAACTATTTCTTATTTGAAGAAAGCTGTATGATTAACAACATAAAATTATCAAAGTGGAGAAGGTTCTTATATGAGAAAAATGTTTTTATATTAAAATCAAAGTGTGTAATATCTAAGCATGTATTATGTTTGTATAGGCCCAAAAACATTCGGAAGAAGCACACATCATGGGCAGTATACAATGTTCAAAGGTGTCTGCAGAACTGAAAACGGCAAGGTCAATAGTTCGTCTTACAGATATCCAAGCTACGCTGCAGGAGCAGAGGTAAGTGTATCGATTACGAAATTATCAGAATCTTAGGCTATTAACACCGCTCTCCTTTTTTTCAGGATACTATTTCTTCGTCAACAAATAAAAACGTTAGAAGAAATGAAGTCTCAAAATTCATTCATGTCTGATGACTCTTAGTGGTTGATTGTGTCTCAGAGCTATATATAATATAGTGTTAACTATAAAACAAAGATTAATGGAAGGGAATATATATATAAATATATATTTAAAAAATTATTTAAGTGAAGAAAAAAAATTGACGATTGCATAAATATTTGTATATTTATATATGGCACCACGATATTTGTTAATTGTTAACAACTAAAAAAAAAGAGAGGAATCATTTCGCAGGTTTAATTTATTTGAACATAAAAATACAAAAGCTCGTACAGTTTGTGGAGAGGCGGTCTCCTCCCGCGAGTGGCATTTTTTTTATTGTAATTACTTTGTGTCTAAATATAGTGAAGTAAAGACTATCTCCTAGGTAGATTTATTAAAGCAAAAAAAAATGTGACTGTATTTGTATTACAATGAAGGTTTTATGTTTTAGTTTTAGAATTAATTTTCTAAATCTGTATATGTATATATGTACATGTATGTATATGTTTATGTGTATGTATATATATCTAATATATTATGGATGTTCCCTTCGGATCCTCGTCTTTATTATATATATATCATATATATGAAGTTCTCTTTACATGCAAATTATAAAAGATAGATGTATAGATTTTTATGTTTTTTTTTCGTATAAACAATTTCCTAGATGTACATTTTCGTTTAATGTTGATTACATATATTTTAGTTTAATCCAATTATTATTATTTTTTTCTAAAAAATGAGTTGTAAATATTTGATTTTATTTCCGCGCAATATTAAGTGCATAACATATATATATTTATTAAATATATGTTTAATCAAAACTCGGTTACAGTAGTATTATGACGTTCTGGACTTTATAGCAGTAGTCATATCGCTATAATCGAGTTTCACCGTGCAACGCAACAACCGTTGATTTTTTTTCTGTTTTTATTTTAGTACAAACTGCGTTGAAATAATGAATAAACGATTGGCTCTTTTAAACGACGTGTAATTTATATAATAATTATTAATACTATTCTTCTTTTTTTTCGCTCTTCTTCCTTTAAATAATTTATGTAATTTATTTTTATTGTATTTTGTTAGGTTTATGTGAGATTTGGGAGGTTTATTATTATGTTCTATTATTTTTTTTTTTGCTAATTTACAAGACGAACGAATGGAAACGAAGATGTGCATTGGATAGGAAATTCGATGAATGGCGCAAAATACTTTCTCTCCTTTTTGTTTTCTTCATTCTATCCTTTTCTCTTGTTTCCGTTGTTATAATTTAAGACAATATTTTTTTACCTTCGATTAGATGATAATACACTGTTGAGGTATTTTGCGCTTGCATTTTTTGTATTTTGCTGTGTACAATTAAATAAACATGAAGTATGTATTAAATTCCGATTCTGTAAAAGCTCTGTTTTTCAACTTCTTTATAATCGATTCCCCCCAAATCTCGTTGAAATATTAATTTAAAATAACATATATACAGTTAAATAACATGTGATATGTAATAGAAATATTGATAAAATGTGTAAAAATAACTTTTTCTATTATTTAATTTCTATATATATATATTAATAATAATAATATCCGTTTCATAGAAAAGACTACTGCATTAATCCTTACCTTGTTCATAAAATATAAATAAATTCTAATAAATCCTGTCTAGATTAAGCTAAAGAAAGTTTGATGATTCTTGTACTCAAGAATGTAAAAATAATGACGTTTTCTGCACATATATCATCACCAAATCGTTAAAGAAAATAGTTCTAGGCATGTTGTGGTAGTATATGTTACTTTTATTAACTTAACCGAAAGAGTGAAAAGAAAAAAATATATTTAATACAACAAAACTTGTGTCTCGTGAGAAGTAGCTTAGTTTCTAAATAGTAGGGAATGCTATGACTATAACATTAATTTATATTTAAAAAAGAAAAACAAATAAAAAATAATAATTTTCTAAACAATGGGACAAAAGATGGAGAAAAATCGACAATTGGCGCCCTATCCTTTCTTTTTAAAAACTAAAATTCTATACAAATTGTGGATGGATTTAAAAATATATATATATATAAAATAATTACACAATAAAGGCACAAGTTGCTGAAAATTTCTAATTTATTTTAAAAATTGACGAATCCAGGAAAAGAAATAAACAAATTATATTATATATATATAAAGAACAGATATAATGTAAAAAATTTCAAAAGAAATTTTCAGCAATGTATTAATTAACGGTTACGATTAAGTTCTGAATCAATATTCGATGAAAAACATATTTACATAAGCAGTCTAACTCCTTTTTTCTTTATTGAATAAAAATTATTTGGAAGCAATATCATTTTGTGTATCGTTTCGTTCATTATATAGTTCTGTTTCGTCTCTCTCCAAAGAAAAAAAAAACGTAACAATAGAAAAATGAAATTCCTTCTTATTCAATCACATACTTTATTTACAAATGAAGATTGGTTCAATTAAAATCATAATCAAGGAGTGAGTCTACTTTTTACAAAAATAAAACTAGACCACAGACAAAACTCGCACATCAAACGTTACTTCTTATTTTTCCTATTTTCTTCTTCTTGTCATCCAGTTGTATCTATTGCACAGCAATAACTTCGAAAACTATAATTATCTGTATGTATATATTTTAAAAAAAGTGCATTTTTTAAAATGTATTTCTTAGTAATCTTGTGGACATCCGGTATTAGTTTTGCCTGCGACTGTTACAGCATATTTATTATATTATTATTTTTTTTGTTGTTGTTTATTTATCTCATATAATTTAAATATTAATTGGGGGGCCTGACCCATGAGAATATCACAGTAAAGAAGCCAATATCGGCAGTCATAAATATACATCATTTATACTTATACAATATATTCAAATTTAATAAATCCGCGCGCGCGCACCAAAGCCTCCTCGGTGTTTCCGGTGTTCATGGTTCGGGTTAAATTGAAACAGTGTTTTTAAACAATTCTACATTCTATGGATCAGACCTACAGCAAGGACTCCCCTACACTCTATATGTGTATATGTTATATACAATGTAGGACTCAACACACCGTTATAGTAATTATATTCAGTTATATAATGCGCGTGAGTACAGAACTTTTGTATATATTTATATATGCGCGACATGTGTGTGAACGAAACAAAAATTAATGACAAAAAAAAATAGTAATGATAATATATATATATTCAAAAATGATGGCGCGCGTGACGCGTCTGTGAATATTCACAAAGGGCTTCAGTCGCATCCCGATATGGTACACATTATATAAATATTCTAAATATAGTCAACATTATATTACAAAAAAGTCGAAATGATGAATGCCGTGCCACAAATATTCACAGACGGACACGTTTGAAAGTCAATTTCCCTTCGTCCCTAACTCCATCCAACACGCTCACAACACTTGCTCATTCATTCCTCGATTCCTCGTGTGTACAAAATATCCCTAACTTTAAATATAGTTATATATTACATCTAATAACCTAGGTAACATCCAACAGGTCAGATAAGAAACGCCCCCTTAATATACACAAATCCCCCATCCCTTCTGGAAAGAAAATAAAGAGTACACTCATCCACATGTTACAAGATTAAAACAGAAAAAAAAACTTAATGAACATACATTATAGATATTTTCTCTATATATATCAATGAGTAAATAAGGCTTAATCTTAACTCTAATCATCCGTTTCGAACATACACACATCCTCGGTAATAACGTTCCAAGTATCTCATAAAGCTACACCAACTATCGCTGAGTCCTTCGCAATGCTTTTCTAAACACCCGTTGTGGTTTACCAGCTTGCGAACTACCCTCGCTGGGCTGTGCTCTGTATTGCAAAAGACATTATTAATAAAAATCTCTTTCTCATTCAATCACTTCATGTACTTACGTAAATGATGAAGGTGCAGCACCAGCAGTAAAATTAAAGGATGGTTTCACTTCTGAGCTGAAATTGGGAACCGGGTTATTAAAATTGAAACCGCCTACTGGATTACTCGATGCGCCCTGCAGAACAAGTAGAAGTGAAAAAGCTGCTAACAATTAAATAATATACAATTACTTACAGCATTAGAATTAAAATTAAATGTTCCAGTAGTAGAGGGGCCTGCAGCTGCATTTCCAAAACTGAAACTGGGTTTGTTGGTAGCATTATTACTAGCTGCAGGTACAGCGGGAGCACTGAAATTGAATCCGCCGTTTTGCGAGGGTGCACCGAATGTGGAACTACTTTGTGCTGAAGATCCAAAAGTTGACGTGGACGACGATGGTGCGGCTGTTGTTCCAAATGTTGGTGGTGCAGATTGACCAGCTTGTGTTGCACTATTTCCGAACGCTGGTGCATTGAATGTTGGAAGTTTAAATTCCGTGGATGTTGTGGCTTTTTGTGGACCGCCAAACATTGTAGTTGCCTTATTATTGGATGCCCGCTCTCCAAAAAATGTAGATTTGTTTGTAGGATTGTTTCCACCAAATGTGGATGCTGAACTGGAAAATGGTGCTGCAGCAGCAAACGGTGTTCCAGTTCCAAATGCCAGGGTTTGAGGAATTGCAGCGTTACCAAAAGTAGCTGCTTTCGTTTTATCCTCCGATGCAGATGCTGCCTTGACAGAATTTTCACCAAACATTGATGGTTTTGTTGTTGTAGCAGTACTCGCTCCAAAGGTTGATGGTTTTGTGGTACTTTCTCCAAAAGTTATTGGTTTCGTGGGCAAGCTTTGACCAAATGTCGGTGGCGCTTTCGTAGAAACAGTATCTCCAAAGTTTATTGGATTCGCGTTTGTGCTATCTCCGAAAGTTATTGGCTTCCCACTGTTATTCCCGAATGTTATTGGTTTCGCAGAACTCTCCCCAAAGCTTACTGGCTTCGCTTTTTCTCCAAACATAACTGGTTTTGTAGTATTATTTTGCCCAAAACTTAATGGTTTTGTAGCACTTTCTCCAAAGCTAACTTTGTTAGAATTAGTGTTGCTTGCGGAGAAACTAAACATATTAGAAGGTGTTGCCGCAGTTGTAGTACTCGTCTTTACTGTGCTATTAAACAAAGATGAAGTTGTGGCTGCAGGTGAGGAAGTACTTTCAACCTTTCCAAACTTTATAACAGGTCCTTCACTCTTGATTTCCGTTGACGATTTTGAAGGTAAAACTTTACTTGGTTCACTTTCAACTGCAATCGAAGGTGTTGGAACAACAGTGCCTATTTGAATTGCAGGCTTTTCAGCAGATTTCGTTCCAAACGTAAAAGCTTGAGTAGTAGAAATAGACGTTGTATTCTCAAGTTTTCCATTGACCGACTTAGCAGAATTAGCGTCTACTACATCAGAAGGTTCATTTGAAGATTTGGCACTTGCCGCAGGCAGTCCAAAGCTAAATTGAGGAGTTTCCTTTAGTTTAGTTCCATTGGGTGTCTTATTATCTCCGAAGATGATTGTTGTCGGGACTGTTGCCGTTTTAGCAGAATCTCCAAAGACGCTCGATGGTGCAACATTGGATGCAGAAAATGCAAAACCTTTACCGTCAACTTTAGCTTTATCGATGCCAAAATTAAATTTGGGAAGCGTTTGCTCATTGTTTACTAATGACTTTGGAAGTGTTTGAGTGCAACCTGGTTTCGCTGCTTCACAGCATACACATTTTACTTTGTCAGAAGAATTGCGCACCATACAACTAGAACACTCCCATTCATCGTTCTTCTTAGTGAATGAAGTTCCAAAACTAGCATCTGCTTTAATTACGGTACAACCAGGCTTAGGCGTTTCACATGCCACACATTTAACTTTGTCCTGTTCATTACGAATTAAACATGTACCGCATTCCCAACTGCTGGCAACTGGTTTAAATTTATCACCGAATGATGATGGAATAGTAGATTTTGGACCGTTTGCAGCAACAGCAACTGCCGATTTTCTCGGAGTTTCACAGGCTACACATTTCGTCTTCGTTTCGTCATTTCGGACAAAACAAGAATTACATTCCCATTTGCCTGAAGACATTTTAAATTGCGATCCAAATCCTGACTGATTTGAGATGGGTGCTGCTGCTGCTGTTGTTGATTGTTTTGGAGTTTCGCATGCTGCACATTTAGTTTTATCTTGAACATTTCTGATCATGCAAACGCTGCATTCCCATGTTCCTGAAATTTCATTTAAAAAAAACAATAAAATAAATCATTTTCAAAAATTAAATGTTATTATTACCTGTGGCTGGTTTGAATTTGTCCATCAAAGATTTAGACCTTCCAAGTACGTCACTAACACTACCAGTAGTTTTTAATTCTTTCTCAGCTGAAATTGTAGCATTTTCACCGTTAACTTTTCTTCTGAGACACGGTATTGAATTGTTACTGGAACTTTTGAAGTTTACCGCTACCTCGGTTGGCTCGTCATTTTTCTGAGAGGTAGATTTTTTGCAAACTGGTTTACTAAATTTGAAGTTATTGATGGCCTTTATAGTTTTTAAATTGTCGGAAATTACGAGTGGTTTTGAAAACTTGTACACTGAAATATCTTTGCTCAACTGTTTGTTGGCGGTCTTTGTTACTGCATTGGTTGATGATGTTTTAAACATGGCTGTTGGTTTGGGTACTGTAATTTCTTTTGGAACGCTCACTGGTTTTACTTCTTTGATCGGCAACGGGATGTTGAAATCAAAATTTGGTAATTTCGAAATAGGTAGCTGTACGTCCGGCAGCCTAACATCCTGCAATATTTCCACAGGCTCGGCACGTGGCCTGACAGAAGATATCTTAGTTTTCATTTTGTTACTATTACGAACAACTGATGAGTCCGTCACCTCTTGTTGTAACAATTTGTACTCTTCCACGTTTAAAGGAGATTTAGACGTGGTGGCCAATTCTCGCACTGATTGCGTACTGTCTTGCAGCCTTTCTTTTAATTTCATTTTCAGAACGTCTGTCATGGTGGGTACTTGAAGCTCCCTGTTGGATGCAACTTTTGAGTCTCTAACAGAATATGGATTAGCTCCCGTATATTTAGAGATTAGTCCTTCGGATTTCTGTGTTCGCTTTGAGGGATTGGGAATCCTCTTCACGTCTTCTGATGGACTTGTGTACTGTTCCAGAGTATCCAAAATCCGTTTAGCAGTTTTACTTAAGGTCACATTCTTAACAGTAGCTATTGGCTTCGGCTGCACAAAGTTCTTCAAATCCGAAGCGGGACGTTTCAATAAATTACGACTGTAAGCCGAGGCGCCTCCGTAAGATGTACGACCAGAGTAGAAAGGAGAATTAACAATACGCTTTGTGGAAAGTGTGCGATCCATAAAATTCGATGATCCAAATGCGGAAGTGTTGAACGAGGGACGTCGTGAACTCAATGAAGTGTTTAAATTTGGACTCGCCATCCTACTGTTGTCTCCAAACAGTGATCGTTCTGCAGGTGCAGCTAAAAGAATGATTAAGTTGCACAATATGCTTTGGGTATTGAAAATAAATTACTTACGTGAGTTAAATAAACTTATGTTGTCAGCTAATTGTTTGTTGGGGGTTCCATGTTTATCATCAGATACATGTTCCTTGCTACCTATGCGGGGCATGGAAGAATATCCACTTGTTGATTCTCCACTGTCGGAGTCTTTGTCACCATTTTGTAAATCTCCATTGTAGTTATTCTTCAGATTATAACCACTTGGTAAAATTAATTTCCTTGTTGATTTGGCAACAGGCTGGGGCTCTGAGAAGGACATTATTTTTGTGCTGAAAGCACTGGCTATTGGCCGTTGTTCATTATGAAGTGGTGTTGAGAGGAAGGTCATCTCCAGATTACTCCTGCTTGTGCTTGCTATTTGGGGTTCGGGCACAGTGGGCAGCTTCACCCTCTTTGTGGGAGGTTGCAGAAGACAGGTATCATCGTCCTCGTCGAGATCCTCGCGGTGGCGGATCTTGGGGCTATCCTGTGGGGTGCCGAACCATTTGCTCAGAGACGATGGGAACAGTCCGGACACACGAGATTTAACTTTCTTCACAAACGACTGAAAAATAGAAACGGTTGAAATCTGTTGCGAGCGAGCGGCGTTTGGGAGGATTGCCTCCAAAAATGTACTCGGAACGGCGTGCGTTGGTTATTTTTAGAAGAAGGCGCCAATCGCGGGACGTACGTATTATGGAGTTCTGCTGGGACAAGCATGGGATCGGTCATGGTATGGTGGTTACCATGGAGAGGAGAGCGGGATTGTTGGAGATGTCTACCTTATTCGTGCCCGTCTCCGTATCGTTGAAGAACGACGAACCGTCCGCCGTGTCTCCTCCGGACATGGTTCGTCTTTCAGTTTGAATATTTGATGGAACTTCGGTTTGTTGTTGGGCGCTTGGGGGGTTGAACCTTATCCAGACTCTTTGTTACATGTATTCACGCTGCTTTCGACATCTCACCATGAACTAGTATCATTACTCTTTTCGCACTCACTCCTTGCTTGACACTTTCACTGGCATGGGAATTGAGAAATATGGCGGCGCGCACTCATGCACACACATACACATGCACCTCTCCCTCCAACATATATGTATACAATAAACACTGGTAAACACAAGCAAACGTAACGAACACAACTACCGGAGACGCGTCTGTGTTGGTTCGGCTTTACTACAAGATGTGGAGGGAAGGAAAGACACAAAGCAACATGAATGCCTCGCTCTCCTTTCCACCCAATGCTTCACCTATTGACCACCGTTCGACGCACACTACCCCTCTCTCTTGTTTTGGTCACACCAACCTCAAACTAAAAATGCTTGCAAAAACGGATTGCCTAGCATTATAAAAATATTTATAAAAACGCATAAAAATACCGCTTTCACATCAACATCATCTTAAAAACAAACCTAAGGTTTATATTATCTTTAAATGTAATTAATTCAAAGCATCTCCGCATAACAAACTTACTGTGTGATATAACGAACAACTGCCAGAACGTTACAACGAGATTAGGTCAGCAATTATTCGCGGAAAGAGACATGTTCAAACTCACTTTTGACGAAAAAACGTCCATATTATACCGATGAAACATCGCAATATGGTCATACCGCCCTTAACTCGCTTCATCAATTTTGGCAAGAGCAGAAAATATTTCAACTGCAGTATAATTATAAACAAGTTGTTGTGACAACGTTAAACGGTTACCAGTAATTATGGTAGCATCTATTGCATTCTAATTAATTATATACATAATAATTGACGTTACCGCGAAACGATGCATTTAAAGAAACCGGTCGTTACAGGATAAAATCCATTGCATTTCAAACATTATTTTTTTTCAGGTTGGCACCAAAGGGCAGCGACTTTTATTACTTTTCGAAATTCAACATGGTGGCGCTATTATGTCACCTTTGGAAGGAGCTTCGGAACTTCAACTAATCTGCATAACTTTTTCTTAATTAATAAAAACTATTGCCAGTTAAAAATCTTATCGATAATTAGAAAATAATGCAAATATAGGAATTTACTTTCAATTGTTACTTCCAATTGCTTCTAAAAAAGAGTGGAAGGAACAGAAACTTATTTGTGCTTCTAGCCAATCTACGTCTTGTTAATTTTTAGTTAAACAATAAATTCATAATTGAAATAAAGAAAATCACCATTATACAACAGAAATTCAAAAGTATAAAAACCGTAAAATACGGCCATTTTAATACAACTAGAGACATCTTTGCATAGCGATCGAAGTTTTGCCAGCATTTTTGTGGATGATCAGTGTTCGTTACCGTACATACACCAGCTTGCAAGTGCACCTCTTTGTAATGGAAGAGATTTCTTAAGTTGTCTCCGTTTTGCGGCTATGCTCAGACTGGAAATATATTTGCAACTGCGTAATACCGAAACGCGCAAGCGTTGAACATTCCAATAAGTCCATTGGTCGCTTCTTCGTGAAGTTCGATATTTATTTATTTACGTTTTATACCTTCAAAACCGCATCGCATTTCCATCCGTCAGGGAGGCCATTTAATTGACTTTGTTTTCGTTGCTGTCAGGTAACAGTTGGAACAATCGATAGCTAAGGACGCCAGTGATAGTTGTTTTGCGGTGCATCCGTATTGCAATAAATTCTTGGTGTTTTACAAAAAGGTTTTCTACAATTGTAATAATGGCCAGCAAGAAACGCGATTTGGAGATTATTTACAATCTAGTATGGAAGAATCGTTTGTTGGGGGACGATCGTTCCAACATCGTCGGGGTCTATGATATTCCTTCTACAACCTTAAATTGGGAAAAATTTAAATCATATTTGGTGAGTATAGCGGAATACCATTTTCCATGGCGAGCGCAGTTCCTGCATATGGCGGAATCAATCCGAATTAATCTAGTTTCGATTGCATATCATCATGTATGTGAGTTATATTAATAAACAAAGATATAGTTTATTAATAAATCTTTGCGATACACCATGGAGTTCATTCCTCTGAAAGTACAACATTTCTTTATACATTTTGCATACAATTTCGCCATTAAAAAAAGAAGAATATTAACATTATACTTTACACTTAAATATAGAATTAGGTTTTTTTTTATTGATGTTCAATTTGCCCCTATATATATATATTCCTTTCCATTTCGACAGCAAACATATATCATATTTATTATTTTTAATTGTTAAATTCTTAAGACATTGGGTAATTGACAACAACGTTATTCAGCAAATTTCCAGAATAAGCTTAACCGAGAAATTTTAAGCAATTTTTTAATTACATGTTATTACAACATATACTATTTACTTAACGTAATAATTAGTAATCAACGCAATGTTTTTCTTAACAATATAAACATTTTAATATCACCATGAATTCTGATAACATCAGGACCGGCGTAAATCTTTTAAAGTAGAAATTACATTAACATATCCTTCGGGTCTATACTCTTCGAAAAATGTATTCAGTTTTTTTTAAATATATAAAGTTAAATTATGTATGGGCTGAATTTAAATTATACGGAATTATTCTTTTGAAGTATCCAAAGTTCAGATTTTGGTTTTAAACATTTATTGTATTATTTTTCAATTAGACCACCTAATTGAAAAATACGGAAATTTTGCCCTGTTTGAAGCCATTTGTTAATAGTTTTTAAATGTAATTCGTTTGCTTAAATGAAAAAAAAAAACACAAAATCCATCTTCTCATGAAATATTATTAACAGAAAATAATTAACAAGGTAAATCATCTACGATTTTTATTGTTATGCCTTTGTAAATATAATTTAACAAGCGTCCTCTTTGACTCATATAATTTATTTGCTGTTAAATCAAAATAAAAAAGTGTGTGTAAAATCATTATTATACTATATAAACAAACTATGTATAAGAATTCTCAACGAAGTCTATTTACTATAAACAAATATATAAACCTCTATTTATGGAGGATTGGATCGATACAAGTAATGTAAGCAAATGGAGCATAGGGATTTTAGCTTTTGTCCGTGTGAAAAAAGATTATTTGTATGTTAAAGCGTGGGCCCGGTTTCCGTTAACGTGCTGATATTTTACATTTGAGCGCTTAATATTAATTAATTTATACTTATATATAACATAAAATAATAATAATGTATTGGCCAAAAATCAATACATAAGAAAAAAAAAGTGCATTCTATAAATAAATTCTAACATAAAATAAAAAAATATATTAATAGACTGGTCAAAGGGCTAACGACCGAGGTCTTTCCGCCCCATAACATAATATTTATTGCTATATAATTTAAGTATGATCCAACAATACACGTTGCTTAACTTTTGTAAGTTGTCAAACATCGATTGATTTAAATAGGCTTTCTCTATTTAAATAATATATATATTTATATAATGCCACCTACTAATGATTATCAACCTCCTCCAATGCACTGATCTCATTAGTATATAAACATTTATAACTTGACAAGAACATTTTAAATACAAATGAACTTAACAAAAGGGTAAGATTAGGTCAGATTAGGGCCAATAAAAGTGTGTAAATAATTTCGGAAATATTTATATTAAAAAAAAGTAAGTTCAGATGATAAATATAGTATATTGATACAATTACCTTCTGAACTTGGAATTATAGAGAAAGTGTCACATTACGTAATATGCTTACTCACATGAAATACAACTTAGTCAATGTACATTGTAATTGGTGGAAAGGTAAGTTGTAATGCTAAAGTGTATTATTCTTGTTGAAATACTTTGTCGTGGCCGACCAAT